CGGTTCCATCCAACTCTGTCCATGTCCATTGTCCCCAGGGCCTGCAGCGTAACACAATCACCAATCCCTGTGTGATTCCCCTTATAGATCTGATGGCGCAGCAGCAGGGTCTCTACCTTAGCCAGGCTGTCTCTGTTTCTCTCTGCATCTACTCTTTCCTGTAGAAGCTACGCACTCTCTTCCTTCTGCCTAGCATGGTCTCCTATTCTTGCCCTCTCTACAGCTTCATACGCCATCTTCCATAAATCTTCCAAATCCCAGTTTTAATACTTCTAGCTTCTGTCGGCTCATAAGAAATGTAGAAACGTATGTCTTATGATGGGCTATTTCCATCCATGTACACCGTAGACAGGCTTAGAACCTGGACCCCGCGAATTCATTCTCTCTTCTGTCATCCCTTTAATACACACCCACACAAGGACATTTAGAATCTTCGAGACTCGCCATTTTTAAATACCCAATTAAGTGGTGACAATTGTCGTCATCAGCCTAGCATGCCACAGAATGGGAGAAGTCACCCCTCCTATTCCACTGCACCATTTAACCATCTTAAATGTCCAGTAATCCCCACCCACTTCCTAGTCACAGCCGGGGTTCCACGGTCACACCTGCAGGGGCCCTGTAATCTTCCTAGGCACACTCCACAATGTTTTGCCAGCCTTGACATCTTTCTACCACAGAGCCTCCTGGCATGTAGTTGATCCCCGTAGGCATGGGAACATTAAAAAAAAAAAAAAAAAGTTAGAAGCCTTCACATGTATTTAGCTACAAAGAGAATGTTCTTGAGGTCGTTTTTTAATTAACAAGGAGTAGGTCCACCTAGATTCTGTAGAAGCAAAAGCTCCCAGTTCCTTGAGCCCTGTGTCCCTTGGAAATGTCAGCACGGAGGGCAGAGACCCTGTGTGAGGTCCTCCTGGCTATGCTACATCTTGTAAGATTTCCACTTGCCATCAACATTTAAGCAATTAAAAAAAAATGTGTATCACCACTGTCTGGCAGGCTTTCTTCCTGGGATTCAGCCTGCTCTCCCATCCCACTCTTAGATGCTCATTACACAACAAAACACCAAGACAGAGAGACAGGAAGAATCCACCCCAAGGTAAAACTGCACGCCGACTTCAAAAGGAAACCCCCGAGATAAAATTGTAAAAACTTTTGAAGCCTTTTTACTGGGTTGTAAGATACATGCTAGACCAAAATACCACCATTTGGGGTCTAGAATCTTTTTTTTTTCTTTTCTGGGTACAAAGAAAGTTAAATGAAGGTCTTTGTATAGCAAAGGCACCAGGGGTGGTACCCGGGGGAGCAAGTCCTAACCCCACGGCTTCCAGGAGCTGGAGGCAATCTGTACAAGCCTGGCATGAGACACTACCACCCAGCAGAGCCCTGCACTTCCTCCTTCGACTTATGAGAGGAAGAAAAAAGAATTAGAGTATAAATTTCAGAAATGTCAGAGAAAGCAAAATGGAACCAATGAGAAAATGGAATTGAAGAGAGGAGGGTCTTAGAACGGGCTCCTAGGCATTTCTGAGGTTTTACAAAGTCAGGATTGGGTGGTGGGACAGAGTGGGTATGGGGGACTGAGCAAGGACTGACTCCTTGCAGGACTGATAAGTCTCCGGCCAGCCAATCAAAGGGACTGATGAGTCTCTGGCAGCCAATCAAGGGGACTGATGAGTCTCTGGCAGCCAATCAAGGGGACTGATGAGTCTCCGCCAGCCAATCAAGGCAGCCCTAGGAAATTATTTCTTTTCTTCTCAGAACACAGATTGGGAATCACCAGGGTCTAACAAACGATATGCTGCAAAAGATGCATGGGTATTTTATGGGGAAGGATCAGCTTAAGCATTCTTGGATAGGACTAGACTGTGGCTCGGTAACAAAATGTTTGCTTAGCCTGAACAAAACCTCTGGTTCTAACCCCAGCACCAGGTAATGGATGAATGAACACACACTGTGTGGTGTGAGGACACACCTGTGTCCTAACATGAACATTCATTCCACACATTAACTTTTTAAGGTTGTTTATTAATTATTATTATTATATTAGCATGTGTGCTGGGTGAGTAATGTGTTTGCAGATGCCCATGGAGGCCAGAAGCGGGTATCAGACCTCCTGGAACTAGAGTTTCAGGCAACTGTGAGTCGCCTAACGTGGGCTCTGGAGGACCAGGTCCTCCGTAGATCAGTAAATGAAAGCTCTTAACTGCTGAGCCGTCTCTCCCGCCCCCCCACATCAACTATCAACTTCATTCGGCATGGAAACCTCCCACCACAGGGGGGGGGGGCTCAACCAGACTAAGAATACTTGAAATTCCCAGGTGAAGATTCTCTTCCAGGTGGAGGCTCTGGGGAAAGCTGTTTCCTGAGCAATCTGATAGTCATGACCTCAAGGGAGTGACAAGGAACCCCAACACTTCCCTGTTTGTACAGCGAAACATCAGAAGTAGTTTGGAAACAGCTCGGCCCACGAGTTACAATAATCCAGATTTCAGAGAAATTGGGAAACAGTCCGTAGAAGGCTATTTTGAAATGCGTCTGGTTCTGTGCTATGATATGACGACACTGTGTCTAACAGGATGGAGACCTGAGGGTGAGGAGGAAAGCTGACATTCGCGACCAAATACAAACACAAACAAACCCCTCCGGCCACTGTGAAGCCGTACAGAAACCCAAATGATGCATGAGCCACAGTGCAGAAAGTTCTCGGGGCTGACTCAGCCGCTGCGCCCGCTGTGGTGTGGGTGGTTTGGGTTGACACACAGCTCCGTATCCAGTGAGAAGATAATTATTTTCCAAATGTGGTCTCCTATTGACCAAACTTAGAGCTTTTCCCCTTCTCCTCAGCTCCCAGGGCCACCTTTCCCCACAAACCTATAACCTCCACCACATGACTAGTCCCCCGGTCCCTAAGGGCACAGCAGTCAGCAAACAAGGCTTTGTGACCACGGCCAACCTAAAGGTGAAATGGGTATTCCCGAGTGGTGGACATATGGTAATGTGCCTTCTAGAAAACAGTAGAGGAAAAGGAGCCTCAGTTTCCCCTCTGAGTCCCTTGCCAAGATTCACACTGGTTCTGCAAAGACCCCTTCCCCACCATCTACAGACTGTCCATTTCCACCAAGGAAATAAGACTCTGACGACCCCAGCTGTGGCAGCTGTTCTCACCGGATTTATGCAGGACAAGAGGGGACAGTTGTGACCACTCACACTTGGATGAGGGTCTTGCTCAGTGCTGCTATGGCCTATGATCCTTCACTACCAGAGTTGTGCACACTCTGAACTGGGGTGGGTTTGCAGAGGCTGCCTTGTCTGCAGGTAAAATGTGGGGAAACCTCTAGGGAGAGCTTCCAAGGGGAGAGAAATCAATTCCAAAGTTTGGGCAGATGCTGGGGAATGCATTGGCTTAGGAGACCATAAACCCTACCAGCATCACATGCTTGGATCCCATAACCATGTGTGAAGATTGTCTTTTCTAACATGGCATTTGATGTTCCAGAGAAACCTGAATCAGCACCCACACCAAGAGCTTCTTCACCCTCACTCTCGTCAGTTGCTGATGGCCAGCAGCTTACAGTCAACAAGAGCCAGCCACGAGCCTTGCTCTCACCTCTCACAAAAGAGAATGTACCAGAAGGTTCCCAAAAGGGCACAAAGAGCTGGATCCAGCCTTTGCCCCAGCTTCTATGTCGGCATATGACATTGGGCAGTTCACTTAAGGCATCTCTGGGCCTCGGTTTCCTCTCCTGACATCAGATTGGGCATAAAGCTGTCTAAGGCTATCACCTCCAGCCCTGAGCATTCATTTGACCGTGGGGCTGGAAGAGAGAAGACTTCTAGCAAATGTCAGCCTTCTTCCTCAAGCCCTATTTATACCATGAGAAGTTAAGACATTTCCACCAGTCAAGGTTCCAAATGCAGTTTTACAGAAATAAATTATGTTCTGATATATACACATACAACTGAGGCCTAACTCATTCAATAATATATAATCAATTAGACCAAGCTACCAAATCAGGAGGTGGCCTGAAATCTGACAAAATGCATCTTAAGGTTTTTCTACTTTAAATCATTTTGCAATTTTTTTAAAGATTCTGAGTAATGTAGAAGCCAAACAGACTAATGGGCAACATTTGTGATAGCGTAAATAAAAAATGTATGAATTATCTCCTGCTTTGCATAATTCTACCTGTCATGAATTCATTATAAAAATATGTCTTTCATTAATTATTTCAAACGTCTGAAGTCCAGCTCATGGTATAAATATAGAGAAGGAAATAGATATTCTAATAAGGCTGAGCCACCTTCTCGGGAGGCTAATTTATTGACTTTCGTAGCCTACGATACGCCAGGAAGGTGCATTAAAAATATATGTTGACACAGACTTGATGCTGTAGTCTGAGCAAAAACAAATGTTTTCTGTGTGGCGCCCACATGCTTTCAAAGCTGTGGGTGCACGGATTAAGTTTAATTTGGGCCTCTCTAAGTTCATTTCTACTCTAGGCTTGCAGTCAGTCAGCTCAGATCATTTGTCAGTCTTCATGTAGAGTGTTACTCTCTAGTACATATCAAGATAAATAGGGCGGATGGAAATTTCAGACCAAGGACTCCCTTTTTTTCCCTCATCTTTCTTGCAGCCTTGCTTCCCCTAAAATGCATTTTTTTTTCTAAACAATTGGTTCAGAACCATCCGTAGTTTCCCCGATCCAGGGAGGATGCATCCTCTCAACAGACGCCCACAAGTCTAGTGTCTAACCCAGAACACAGAGCAACGTGGGGAAGGAAGGCTCGGGAAATTTCCTCGTGACATTCGCTGTGGTACCATCACGGGGGAGGAAGAACTTGTCACACAGACCATACGCAAAGCTAATCTCCAGAAAAACATTTTCTCAAAGAACTGACAAATACAAGTTTTCATCATCAAAAGAAAAAGGAAAAAAAAAAAAAGGAAAGTATCTACTCTTTGTCCCCAAGAAAGGGTGCCACTGAGAAACACTCACCACGATGTGTGCGGGCGAGGGGGAGCGTGCATCCTTGAGGGCTTGTCTGCTCTGGAGGCTTCCTGCTTGGACATCGAGCAGCGGCCATTTCATCTGCAGATACTGGGAATAAAGGGAAACAATTCATTCAGGGAAGGAGAGGAGGCAAGTTAGTTACCAAGAAATACGCATTGTGTGCATTATTTACATCGGAAAGTGAAAAAGAAAGAAAGAACAATCTAAAAACATGCAAAGGTATGAGTAAGTTCAAATGCAGAAAATCAACATCACTAACAGGCACAGTCTTGTCTTTGCAATGTAACTTACGGGGTGGCTCCTGGAAAGGGGGTTCAATAGTGCAACCTTCTTCAGAGGGAAGTGATGGAGGCAAGAGATGGGTAGTGGAGGGAAGAAGGGTGCAGGGGAGCAAAGAAGGGGCGAAGACAGAAAGCCAAAACAGAACCTCAGCCAGAAAAGTCCTAGAAGACCCCCTAGACCCCCTGCTCTTCCGGCAGCCTTCATCTTTAAAACAGTGTCATCCTTCACTTCCTTCACACGCAGAGGGCGTCCAGTCATGACCACACACAGCACTCCTCAACCGACCCCAAGACATGGACAACTGAAGTACTTCATGGCAGTAGACATACACCCAGGGCACAGTGCAATTTACACAGTCTTTTCAAAAGAACAGAGCAATTCTTACATTTGGGCAGAATTTAGCACGAGGGTAAAATGAAAGGATGAGTCAATACATCCCTCCCTGCCTTTCTCTGGAGCAGGAGAAGGCACAAAACCAGCTACTTCTGTTGAAATCGACGGAGCGGCGGTCCGAGGATGGCGCGAGACCAACTGGCCTAATGCCTCTTTAGTTTGACAGATGGGGAAACTGAGGCGACGTCCTTTGTTCAGTGTGGTGATGCTCCAGATCCCCTAAGGGCATGTGAATTCTAAATCTCTTGTGACTTGGCATCAGTATTGCTTAGAGGGCACATAAAGAGCAGTCTTCATCGTTCCAGAGACTTGAAGCAAACTGACTAGTCTTAATATTCATTTTATAAAAATGAATGCACGTGGAGGGGTGTCGTGGGTCACAGGCGGGGTTCAGAGAACAACTCGCGGCAGTCCGTTCTCCCCTTCCACCATGAGAGTTCAAAGGATCAAGCTCACGTCATCGGGCTTGGTGGCAAGTACCTTTCCCTACTCAGTTCCAGAGTTGTGTAGTCAATGAACACTATGGAAAATTGCTTTGTGTCTGTTCACCCTGCCGAGAATAAGGAGGCTCATGAGATGTCTGCCCTTGGGAAGTGCATACTGGTGAGGCAGCTAGCACACATACCACTAGCTCGAAGCAGAATGTGGGCAGCCATGCCCAGGTAATGCCAAGAAAGATAGCAGAGTTTCTGACAAACTGCTATACCAAGTAGATGTAGCTATGTCTTTAGGACTTCTGTAGAAAGAAAAGACAGCAAAGGACTGTCCAGGAAGAAACTTTGCTCAGACTCCATGTGGGAACAGAGAGGTCAAAGGTATCTGAAAACAAGTGCATGTTGCTCAGAGACATGCCTGTTTGGCAAACTAAAACCAAACGTGGTTACGCCTAAGGCGGGGTGATCGGAGCCCAACAGCTGCCGTCTGCTTTTCCTGCCTAGATCCATGCATGGTGGGTTCATCTTCTACAGCTCAGGAGACTTGTACCAAAAACCCTCCCTGGTAAAGTTTTAGCCTGACAAGATCTTCCACCAAAGCTGTTCCTACCGATCTCTAGCTGCTTTTTACTAATCGGAGGGGTTGCCATATGTGTGACAGAAAAATAGATCTGCCCGAATATTGAAAGAAATTAGGATTCTAGGCATTGAATCCTAGCAAGCCCCTTCCTTTCCTCTTTACAACCAAACCACTTCCAAACTGGAGCCAGGATAACCCTAAGTTTAAAACCACTGAAGACAGAATTCCCAAGGTATCCTCAAGCCCTGACTCCGAGCCAAGAGGCTCTGGGAAGCTATTCTGCCCTGTCTCACCCTGACTTCTTCCCATTCACACTTGCCACATAACTACAGGGGCTGCCTCGGTCAAAACCACTCAATAGAGTCATTTCCTTGAGGCCAACCAGAAATGAACCCTGGCCAGCACTACCTCTCCATCTCACAGCAACCCACAGAAGAAACTGCAAAGCGGACAGACACACCCACACCTCCCGCTATGCTCCAACGGGAGGGTCTGATGAGTGGAGACGTTTGCATCTCGGACCATCTGTAAAGGAGATCTGATTGCATCCCGATGCCAGCTCTATTGAATTAGAACATGTAGGCTTGGTTTAAGGTGACAGGCTAGCCCTGAGGAACCCACGCAAGAACTATCACCCTCAGAATGCACTATCAACTCCGAGACTTCTAATTCTTAGCGTACATAAAAGCTTCATTGTGTTCCAATCTCCATAGGCTACCTGCACCACATATTTTTATGAGCCTACATTTCAGCGCTCTGAGCCTACAATACACATAATTTTCAATTATGTCAGGGCAGCGCAGGCCCGCTGCCTATATAACATTACTGGTTGGAGGAAATGAGAGTCACCCCTGCTGCCCAGAGAGAGTTAACCAAACCCAGATGGTGGAGGACAGCCCCTGGCCCTGCCGGCTGGCGGGGACGCCGCAACGACAGCCTCCAATGCTCCTTTTGGGCACAACTTGATACCATTGCAGCCAGGCACCCACAAATCCATGCTCACTCTAGATTCCTAACCTGCATGCTGGGTGACAGGGCTTCTTTTGGGAAAGCAAACATTTATGTTGGGATTTTTATTTTAAAGGAAGACATTAACTTCTTCCCAAAGTGATGCTCCCTGGTTCCTTCATCTGAGTAATAGGGAAAATAAATACATAAAGGGACGAAGGAGGAAATTAGGTACAATTACAGCCTAAAGGAAAATCTCTTCCTTCCTGGAGACATTAAGCCGTGAGAAATTCTATTCTGCTCTCCTAAAGGAAGACATGCAATGGAGATTCACAGAGGAGCTGGACCATCTCTCTTGTCCAGGCTCCACTGCAGGTTTATATCCTTCAGGGGGGAAAAATATCTCCACCATCCTAGAATAAAAACAACACTGGGCTCCTGCTCGCTTCCTCTCGAGCGCTCCACATGGAAATTATAAATTGCCTACAAAAGCATTAAACTTTTCAACAAACGGCAATCAAAGGGGCTGAGGGAATTCCTACATTGAGAACTGTTGAAACGGGTCTGCTCAGCTTTCATTTAGTCAAAAATAATAATAATAATGCTAATAAGGCCATCTTGGCTTAAGCATTTCATCTTTTGTTTAATAATAGTGTTCTGAATTTGCCCCATTAGGCCCTCCTCCAAATCATGTTTTATGCTGTAGCTCTAGGAGCTGAAGGCTAAGTTTAGGACCTGTGGGCAAAGGCTCATGGGATAAATACAATGCCAAGGGTCTGCAAGGAGTCAGAGCTCAAAATACTGCTGATTCGTCAACAAAAGGAAGAACCAGGGAGATGACTCGGTCAGTAATGCGCTTGCCACGCAAGCGTGAAGACTTGAGTTCAGACCCAGGGAACACCTGTAAAATCAGTGTGGAGAGGTAGGGGAAGAAGGACAGCCCCTCCCCTGGGTCGCAGTGGCCGGACAGTCTAACCCCAAGTTCAGTCTGACATCCTGTCTCAAGATAACAACAACAATATGGATAGTGATTGAAGTAGACACTTAAAGTTCACTGATAATCTCCATACACACACACACACACACACACACACAGAGAGAGAGACAGAGAGAGACAGAGAGAGAGAGAGACAGAGAGAGACAGAGAGAGAATGTAAGCATCTCTAATTGTCTTCCTTCTTCCACTTCCTCCAATAAAAGGAAAAACCAGAAGCTGACGGGGAAGAGCTTCCAAACAGACTCTTTCAGAGCCGCCGGCCCCTCACCGGACCAGCAGGCTTCCCAGCACTTCCTTTCATTTACCCGTCCCACAGATGGACAGGCGAGTGGAGACTGGCTCCACCCCCTTATTTATTCAGGGCGGGGCTCGTCAGATAGTGACTATCTCAGGCTCTGTGGTCTATGACCATGCTCACCGTTGTAACTTGAAAGCAACTCCAGGCTGTTTTATGTTAGGTAAACATCCATGGATGTTTTACATTAGGTTGGGTTACGTTATGTTGTGTTAGGTTGTGTTGTGTTAGGTTGTGTTGTGGTATGTTGTGGTATGTTATGTTGTGTTGTGTTGTGTTGGGTTGTGTTGTGTTGTGGTATGTTGTGGTATATTATGTTGTGTTGTGTTAGGTTGTGTTATGTTGTGTTGTGGTATGTTGTGGTATGTTATGTTGTGTTGGGTTGTGTTGTGTTGGGTTGTGTTGGGTTGGGTTGGGTTGGGTCATGTTGTGTTGTGGTATGTTGAGGTATGTTATGTTGTGTTGTGTTGGGTTGTGTTGGGTTGGGTTGGGTTGTGTTGGGTTGTGTTGTGTTGTGTTATGTTATGCGTGTTATGGCCCATGCACTCCAATAAACTGCATTTAAACGACACTGGTATCTGAACTTTCTGTACCTAGAGATACTATTCTTCTTATGCTTTTTTTTCTTTTTAGATTCATTTTATTTTTTTAATTGTATGCCTTTGTGTGAGTCTGCGGGGGATAAGGGCACACAAGTTCAGGCACGGAGGTCAGAAGAAGCACCTCAGACCGCTGGAATCTGAGCCACACGACATGGATACCAGGCTTCTAGAAGACTTGATTTCTTGAATCATTTATAAATAATAAAACTCAAAAATAAGAAATTAATTCACACTAATTAAAGCAGTGTTATTCTTCACTTTCAAACCATCTGAACACAGATGCAAGCCAGCCGTGACCTACGTGTGCACTGGTCCGGACATTCGAATACAGTCATGTAAGAAAGCGTGTCCCATGGCTCAAAGGCAGCATTTTAAACTGAGATGTCACAGGCAGGCTTGTGTTTTAAGGATTACAAAAGAACCTGCGTGGGATGTTGTATGTGGCTCACACCTTGAATTGTAGCTGGATTTCGGGAATACGCCTATCTGGCCTACACAGCAAGTTCCGATAGAGCCAGAGGTACATAATGAGAGCCTCTGTCAAATAAAACAATAG